GCGGGAATATTTCGAGCCTGGGAATAGATCATCATCATTTGGAGTACTATTGGAGACCCCCATGGACATCTCGTTGGAGACCCCCATATGGACATCTCGTTGGAGACACCCATACTTTCATTGGAGACACCCAGATTTTCATTGGAGACTCCATATTTTTGTGGGAGACCCCCAGATTCTCGTTGGAGACCGACATATTTTCATTGGAGACCCCATGTTTTTGGTTGGAGACCCGCAGATTTTTATTGGATACCCCCAGGTTTTTATTGGATACCCCAGATTTTCGGTGGAGACCATCATTATTTATTAAATCTGGGGGTCTCCAATTAAATCTGCTGCAGTCTCCAACGAGAAGTCCATGTTGGTCTCCAATGAAAGGGGTCTCTAATAGTACTCCAGTGATGATGATTTCTTCCCGGGGACTCGAATTTTTCCTTAAAAAAATGTACCCCTGATTGAGAGAAAAACTTAAAAGTAGCGGTATTCCTCTACACATGAGAAATATTGTAAATCTTTTTCACTTCAAACTCAAGTTTTTCATCATTACATTTTTGCATGTTTAAAATGTTCCTGCTTCCACGTCATAACTCACAATGTTCTTTTTAAAATATGTCAAAACTAATGAAACATATTTATATAAACCATTTTAGACAAGCTTCTTAATACTTAAAGGAAAATGTTTTAAACTGTCTACACTGAATAAATATTTAAATCTTAAAATAAATAAAAAAGAAAAATTATTAGTTTTGTATTTTTATATCGTAAGATTTGTCATAAAACCTTATATAACTGATATTTTTTTTTAAAAATAGGGAAAGCCTATTTTCATAGAGACAGTAGCAAATAAACAAAAATGTCCGTCAAATTTTCAAAATAAGAAGCGAGTAATATTCTGTTGATTTTTTGTTTGTTATCACATAGCGATGTCTTTGTTAGTTCCACTCTTAGACATTTTACATACAAATGAACAGAATCTTATTCTTTAGATAAATTGCACTCGTAAATACTTCGTTATTTGTAAGTACATCTTATCCAAGAAAGGTTTATTAACTTATTTTGTTATGTCGGTTTATAAAAGAGATATAACTAAATGATAAGTTATAAGCAAAAATAGGGCCTTAAAGGGACCGTTCACTTATTTGGGTAATTTCAGGGTAAACAAAACAGCCTATTCGCTCTTGATTGGCAAAAGTCTTACTTTTCAAAGACAACTGTGGCCGGAGAAAAAGCCGATTTTTCGTTCAGAATTCGAGCGCAAAGAGACGGTCCCTCTCTATAGACACTATTTGATGCTTTTTTCAGTAACAGCAGCCCAATAACATTAAAATTTATTATATTTTAATGTCATTATGTGTTCGTTATTATGTACTAAAATATGAAAACTTTTGATATTTGAGTTAGCAAGAAATTTACGTTTTTCGTATTAAAACATGTAAAATGTGTATACAAAGACGACGTCTCTACGACAATCAATTAATCATTACTCGTATTTTGGTTCGTAGATTTTGTAGATTTTGTTCCCGCATGAGCACAACTTTTCATTTGTCATGCCGCGTTCAATTCAGCTTTTTACACAGGCAATACACAATTTTGAATGCAATAAAATAGTGTTATTTTAGAAATAGAAAGTTAAAAAACAAAACAAAAAATAAAAAAATAATGACATTTACAATTAACGATTAGATACTACAGTTTAATTTTATAATCGAAATTTATTTTGATTCAATTAGTGTCTATAAAGAGGGACCGTCCCTTAGCGCTCGAATTCTGAACGAAAAATCGGCTTTTTCTCCGGCCACAGTTGTCTTTGAAAAGTAAGACTATTACCAATCAAGAGCGAATAGGCTTTTTAGTTCACCCTGAAATTACCCAAATAAGTGAACGGTCCCTTTAAAGTCTTAAAAAGTGATAAAAATATTGATTAATGTGCACAAAAGTTTTAAAAATTCTTTGCCAAAAAGTATCATAACATACAAAGTCATAAATAAAAACCAAGAAACTTATGTAAGTGAGCAAATATTTTGGCGTGAGAGTTAGAAAAATAATAAAATGCAGCTTAAGTTACAACAAAATATTAAAATTTTATTTTTTAAAACATTGCCTCTGTGAAGGTCTCATCAAATTTCGACCCGGAGTATGACAATGCAACTCGACAGCCACAAACTAGGACTGAACGTGTTCCTGTTTGGTTTTAAATTGTTCGTTCCTCCTTCTAGAACGAGAGCCTTCCGCTAGATAATTCGTTCAATGCTCGTTCTTATTCCAATCGTTCCATATCCATTCCGTTCCTTTCTTTGCGTTCTTGACCGAGAACGGTTCCGAGGAACGGGTTGGAATTTGTTGAGAGGGGGGGGGGGCGAGGAACTGAGTGGGGGAGAGGTTTGGTAACACTGCCAAAGCCAACCACACCAAACTAACATTAACAATTATTAAGATAAACTAAAACTTTACAATTTTCACCCATTTCTACTATTTCTAGATGATATAGAACACGTTCATGATAGACCAATGCCAGAATGTTCTTTTTAACCAATTACCTTTCGCTCTGATGTAGTTCGTTCGAATATTTTTAAGAATTTGTTCTATGTGTTCGTTTTTTTCGAAACAATGGCATCATTCTTGATAACTCCGTTCGTTCCTGTACGTAAAAGAAAAATCGTTCCCTGAGAACGACGCCCAGTCCTACCACAAACCCAAAACTGTTGATTTAAAAAAACTAGGTTAATAAATATATTCCTTAGCTAAATTTTCTTTTTTTTGTGAGTTAAATCTAAAAACCATTTTGCTGTAGTTAAAAACCAGAGACCAAGGAAGTAGTTCAGCTATTTCTCGCTATTCAATAATTTTGTTCCCTTATCCAATAATATTTTTGTTAAATTGATATAACACATATATGTTATATTAAATTGAGTCTAGTTCACACTGTACGCTATCGTACATTACAATTTTCCGCCAATTAGAATACAACTTTTTAGATAAATACACGGATTTCAGTGCCCTCGATGATCAGTCAAGGACATGTCAAGGGTACCCTTGTGAATACATGGATATTAGCTTAAAATTCCATTAGTTGACTAAAAAATAAAAATAAAACTGGCTAAAAATATAATATTTTCGTATTTTTTAAGGTTAAAAGAAGGTAGACCACAATTTGTGTAAGTTGTACGTGCACCCTTTTTCAGTAAATAAATAAATAAAAAGATCTAAGAATATATAGTTTATTTTACTTTATACACATTTTTCAGTAAATAAATAAATAAAAAGATCTATTGAGCAATATATCATATTGACGAGAACTGAAGAAGGACATGAGAAGGACTAAACTAACTTAAATTTCTCTCATGCACACCACAAGTACTCAATGACATCAGAACAGCCAATGTTCACAACCGACCTAGTTAATCTATATAATAGGAATATCTTTAAAACATCTCTGTACATTTATATCTTTCAAGATGAAAAACGTCGTCTTATGCGCAATCTATCTTTATCTATGAATTTATCTTAACTCTGTAGAAGCAAGAAATTTGCAAATAACTTTAAAGGGAGTGTTCGCGAAAAATGAAAGGGGGTATAGGCTTAATGCGATAAAAAAGCGCTTTTGATCGATTCTAATCTCACTTCAATCTGTTGCGTCTATAAGGAGAAAATTGTTAAAAACGACTAATACCGAAGAACGTAGTATCCATACAAATTCAGAAATATGCAACATACTACTTAGACCGTAAAAAAATCTATTTAATTTCAAACAAATCATTCAGATATTACAACTTATATTTGTATGCAGTTGATTTTTCATAATATGTTTTGATTTTATTCTTAAAATAACATTTAGCTTCCAACTTGTTTTCGAACATTCCTGGAAAATATGAAAATGTCGTCTTCATTACCAAAAATTTTATGAAAAATCAACTATATACAAATGTGGCGAAAGATTATCGATGACTATAGGTTGTAATATCTGAATGATTTGTTTAAAATTAAATTGATTTTTTTACGATCAAAGTCGTATGTTGCAATTTTCTCAATTTGTATGGACGCTAACTTATTCGGTATGAGACGTCTTTAACAATTTTCTCCTTATAGACCCAACAGAGAGAAGTAAGATTAGTAGCGATCAAAAGCGCTTTTTTATCGCATTAAGCCTATACCCCCTTTCATTTTTCGCGAACACTCCCTTTAAGAAAAATGATAAGTTTGCAAAAACATGGATTTCTATTGATTTCTGCAAAAGTGGTTTGTTAGTGAATCTGACATGATTACGATTCGGTCCCTTGGAATTCGTTAATTTCTTTTCACTTTTGTTAACATTTTTAAGCACGTAATAAATGTTAAACATTTTCTTTTTTCACAATTTTTTATTTTTAAGACTTCTAAATTATGACCTTGAATATTTCATGAGTGTACCTCAACTTTATTTTTGTAGAAAAATTTCAGAGTTTGTTTTTATAAATTTTGTCAAATTATCAAATGATGATGATTTTTTTTCACGAGTCAAAATTATAATAAACCAACATTAAAATTTGAAGGAATTTTTATAAAAATATTGTGTTTATTGCCTTCCTTTAAAACAATTAACTGATTTTTTTCAGCATAGACAAACAAGAAAATTGCTGACATTAGTTATATTCAAGATAAAAAACAACCTCTATGTTTGGAGAGGGTAGAAGGTTTGAAATTAAAGGCTCAATGACAATAAAGCCAGGGCAGCTAAATCACTGTGTTCGTGTTTAATTTGTAAAAAAATGGTTCCCCTAATTTGAACACCCCCCCCCCCGGGCCTCCACCTCCCCTATTTTTATCTCTTCTACAAACAGGAAACTATTCAATCTCATGCCAATTCTTCTNGTTTTCAATTATAAACATGAATATATATAATTCATATTTAATCAGACAACGCTGTCAAGGAACCCGTTGTGAACCTGGCATTACCAACTGTACAGGGAGGATTACTTGAAATTACAGTACAGTCCCTTTAAATCTTTAAAGAATGTTTTTGTTTAGTTTTGATGTTGAGAAAGATGAATTCCTGAACCGGATTCTAAATGATTATTCAGATGTCCTGGCCGATTATGAATTGGTAATTTAGTTTAATTAATCTGTAATCGCGAAATCAATCTTGTAAAAAGATCGGGTTCTTCTTATCCTAAAATATTCGTTTTTTACAAGATCCATGACTTAAGCGTTTTGAAGCATTCTTTTAATTCATATTTTAGAAAATGTTGAACTTTTATAATTAATAATTATTTAATCATTTATGAAAAATCATTTATGAGGTTATCATTCAATTATTATTTCATTTATTTTTAGCTTTTAACATTCAAGTTAAATTTGAATTATGTTTTATATAGTATTGCATATCTCAAACAATATTTTAATAATATAGAATATTAGTACAATTAATGTTTTATTAAAGTGGAATTTGAATTATGTTTGATAAAGTAATGAATATCTCAAACAATATTTTAATAATATAGAATATTAGTACAATTAATGTTTTATTAAAGTGGAATTTGGATTATGTTTTATAAAGTAATGAATATCTCAAACAATATTTTGATAATATAGAATATTAATACAATGTTTTATTAAAGTGGAATTTGAATTATGTTTTATATAGTAATGAATATCTCAAACAATATTTTGATAATATAGAATATTACCGCCGCCGTTTTTCTAACTCGAAAAGTCTTTATTGCCCTGAGTTTCTCCATTTCTTCTTACAGCCATGAAATACGCAAGACACTTTAGCAGAGAAACAGTTTAAAGGAACAAAAAACATTGATTCCTACTTGATCCGACAAATTTGTCAAGGGTGCCGTTTTAATTCGGGCATTGCCATCTTTTTATGATGGGTCACTTGAAATTACGCTCACAGTCCCTTCAACCTTAGGTTTTCCTTCACATATTTGTCAAGAAGTAGTCTTCATTACATAACATCCGCTAGGTGTTTCTGCCACGTTTTATCGTTCAAAGCATCGAGAGCTGAGACATCTGGCGGCCAATTATTTTGGCGTTTTAAATGCATTGTATACAAAACGAATAAAAAATATTATGAAATATTAACTATATATGAATGTGTCGAAAGATGATCGATGACTATAGGTTAAAATATTCGATTGATTTGTTTGAAATTAATTGATTTTTTTATGATCCCAGTCGTATATTGCAACTTTCTTAATCTTCAATTTAAGTCGTTTTTTTTAACAATTTTCTCCTTATAAACGTAACAGATAGAAGTAAGATTAGTAGCGATCAAAAGCGATTTTATTTCTCCATAAGCCTATACCCCCTTTCATTTTTCGCAAGCACTCCCTTTAAAACTGCACTCAGATGGTCCTATTTGTATTATTTCTGTGTATCATTTCTTAATTATTTTTATCGCATTTTTACAAACATTGTATACAAAATGAATAAAAAATTTTATGAAAAATAATCGATGACTATAGGTCAAAATATCTGAATAATTTGTTTGAAATTAAATGAATTTTTTACGATCCGAGCCGTATATTACAGCTTTCTCTTTCTGAATTATTATGGACGCTACGTTTTTCAGTATAAGCCGTTTTTAACAATTTTCTCCTTATAGCCTCAACAGATACAAGCAAGATTAGTAGTGATGAAAAGCGATTATTTTTCGCCATAAGCCTATATACCCTTTTTCATTTTTCGCGGACACTCCCCTGAAAAGTTTACTTTGAGAACTTCTATTTTAGACAATATGTGAATAAGCGCAATCCCAATCAAATTTACAGCCATTGGACTTTTTCGTTTTTTGTTGTTGTTGTTGTTGAGGAAATTGACATTTATAGTATGTAAAAAAGTGGATTTATATTTTGATAAGAATTCATGAATATTTAAATTGTTATCTCTCTCCAATCTAAACATGGGGATTCATGCAACTGTTAAAGTATGAAATTTTTACGAGCTCACATCAATTGGAAGTGAAGAAAATAAACCAGAAACTTAAATTTTTAAATCCTTATATAATGCAGCATGATGATGTAAATCTTTAATACTTCAAACTTAGATTATTTGATCTAACAGAATACATTGTTTGAAATATTTAAGNTTTTTGAAACAAATAGAACAGATACACAACATTAGCTATTCTAGAGATATTCCTGTTTTTGAAACAAATAGAACAGATACACAACATTAGCTATTCTAGAGATATTCCTGTTTTTGAAACAAATAGAACAGATACACAACATTATTATAAGCTTTTAGTCTGGTTTTAGTTTTTTATAAACAAGAAAGAAAAGAGCTTTTGCTTATTTATCTAGAAAAATGATTTTCAATTTTTTAATACCAGTTTTTTTTGAAACCTTAGATTTTAGTTTAGTTTTTATATTAGGAATATAACCTTTAAGTCGAACAAATAAATATTGAATTAAAAAAAAACAATCATTTTATTGAAGAGAGTAAAGATAAGAAGTGGATATGAATAGGAACTGATGCATTTAACAGGAAATTATCTAATTTTACATTTATAATCTAGTTTTCCGCATGCATTGTTATGTTTACAAAATGACAGCATGGTTTACAATATCACTAAAAATCTTCAGGATTTTCTGCACTTTCCACATCACAAGTCATAGTTATATAATAGATATTTACAGTTTAACCCAGAACATTCAAGGAAATTATAAAATGTCGTCTTGACAATTTTTCAATGGGTTTCATTATTATACCTAAATCTCAGTAATTTAAAAAGTGAACAGTCCCTTATAAACTTCTTCATGTAATGTGGTATGATTCCAAGATAAATTATCAAAAAATATTTTTATTTTAGTTTGCAAAAACTTGATTAGTTAAAGGATTGTGTGAAAAAAACCGTCTACCTACAAATTTAATCCACAAATTTTTTTGGGAAAGTAACATGACAGGGGATGAATAGTGAATTCTCTAATCTTACAAAGCTAAAACTAGACTCTAGAGATTTTATTGAAGAAATTCATAATAAATTTTCAATATTTTTGAATAGAAATAAAAACCTTGATACTGAATTTAGTTTGCCAGAATTTGGATTTATTTTTATTCCTTGAACGAATTAAACTATTTCTCTTTTTCTAAAATGTCAACCAAAAATAATTAAAATAAATAAAATTGAAATAAAAAATATTTGAAGCAAAAACCATTTTAAAAATATGTAAGACACTTTTTATTACTTAATATTCAAAATAATATGTAACCCCCAGGGGCGGATACAGGGGGTGGTGGGGGGACATTCGCCACCCCCTGACAGATTCAGGGAGGGGCGTAGCCCCTCCCTGAGATTTCGAGGCAAAAATGTTCCCAATTTTATAAATCGTATGTGTTTTTCAATTTCAAGCTTTTTTTATTTAATGGAAATCTTGACTTTCTTTTCTTCAGTTTAATTTAAAAATCAACGACAACAAGTAAATGTTATTGTTAACGATAAATTTAGAATTAGAAATTTGTAAGAAACTAGACTTAAGTTATAATATTGTTCATATCTAGTAATGTTCCTTAATCAATACTCATTTATCAAAATTGTAATATTGGTCCTAATTTTGATGCATTTAAGTATAACTAGTAATTTCTTTTTGTTTTTAAATTGCTAATGTTCCTATTATTGTTCCTGTTCCTAATACTGTGTCCGACCCA